CATGTGGGGGCGTGTTAGAACGAGCTGTTTTAGGTAGGCGTGGCTGACTCTTAACTTTTATAAAGAATATCTCTTTGGATTTGAGACTTTAGTCTTTGCAACTTTACAGATCTTCTTTATGCACCAAGTGCTTGTAACACTTCAAAGAGAAAGGAAAAATTTCAATCGCATCATATGACCCCTTTAAATGTTTATACGTTCACACACAATTTGGTAATTTACTGGCGTGACAAAAGTATTCTATAACCAAACTCACATTCGTACATTAAAGGGTTAGTTCACCCAAAAAATAAAAATCGGTCATTAATTACACCCTCATGTCGTTCCAAAAACCATGAGACCTTCGTTCATCTTCGGAACACAAATTAAGATATTTTGATGATGAGCTTTCTGACCTTGCATAAACAGCAATGCAACTCACAGATTCAAGACCCAGAAAGGTAATGTAGTAAAGTCATGTTAAAATAATCCAAGTGACATCAGTGGTTCAACCTTAATGTTATGAAGCTACGAGAATAGTTTTGAGTGCAAAGAAAACAAAAATAACAACTTATTCAACAATTTATTCTCTTCCACAGCAGTCTTTGACGCACATTCACAAGAGTACCACGAGGCATGCGTGCGGTGCTGCTGATGCAGGAGCCGGTGTTCTGACAATTTGTGCTACCCACTCAGATTGTGCTACCTCCCATTGAAAAGATAGGTAGCACAAATTGATAGTGAAAAATGCTACCTATCAGATTGCGCTACCAAAAATATATTTACATTGTTTTAAGGGTAAGGGTAGGGGTAGGTATGGACATTAAAAAAAACCACATGAATTATACCACATGAATAAGATGCTGGTAGCACAATCTGATAGGTAGCATTTTTTGCTATCGATTTGTGCTACCTATTTTTTTAATGGGAGGTAGCTCAAGTATACCACAGTTTGGACGCATGTCAAATGTAAAAGGATGTTATTATGACAAAATAATATTTAAAATATATAATTTTTCTTGTCCATCTACAAGTGCCTGGCATTAAAGAATTAAAAACACCACAAAATAATTTAAATACTGTAATCATGTCTTTTGACCTCAGTGACCTATGAACACAGCTCTTATCTTGCTAATGTCATTGAACATTGGTGTAATCTGAAGACGAATATCATCACTGTTCCCATAATCCCATAAAGCCTCTCAAACTATGATGTCATAGTGCTGCCTTACAAACCAGAAACCCAGATTAATATCCTTGGGTTATATGTGGCAAAAAAAAAACGGCAAGTCATTGATGCTCAAATGTTTTAATCAAAATCCAAATATATATAAAGGAAAATATATATTATTTTTGAACTATTCACACTTTAATACAAATAAACATTTTATGCATAGATACTGTTTCACATGAAATCAGAGAATATTAATTAAAAAAATCTGTCATAAATGACTGAGGATCATGTTGGTGCTGGTATTTCATATGCAGTGACAGAACTAAGATTTACGACGAGAATAGGAAATTACAGCAGCTTATCAGACCTAAACAGTGTAAGTGTCGTAACTAACTTATTTGGTGACGAAATGTACCTTCTTGGAACCATGGAACAAATTAGCGGATTTCAGGATCGTTTCCAGAAGTGTGGCTAGACTGACGCCCAAGAAAATTGGCTTTTAACAGGTGACTCACTGTCGCACTCACTACTTATTGAGAGCATCGTAGCACTGAATGTCATGTGAGACAGTGTCTTGAAGTAATACCTCAGTTTCTCTCTGAACACATAATAACCTGTTACCACAACAGCTCCCAAACGTCAGGAGGACTTTTAAGTGGCACAACAGAAATTGAACATATAGCAATTTTACATTCTTCAATATAAAACACCAAAAGCACCAACAAACCTATAACAATTTTTTAAACATCACTAAAACAGTTTTTCCCAAAATGGGTCACATTACTTATAAAGTATGGTGAATAAATAGTCCAAATAATTTAATACAATTTAAAATATATATCAATGATTATAACTGCAAAATAAGAACTAGAACACAGTCCAACTTCTTGAATTCCAGTTTATATAGACTGATAGCCCTTGATGCCTAGATGCTTTTGCATAATAAGTCAGGCTCATGTGACTGACACACTAACTCTGCTACAGGTTGGTACAAGGACAGAGGATCAGTAGGTTGATGCACCTTTGGTTCCAGTAGATTATGACTCTGCTATCAAAACCAGATAGGTCCAAAGGAGTCTGGTCTGATAGTAAGCACACAGTTGGCTGGGTCCAAACATGGAAAGTCGGGTGGTAAATCAGGGCCAAGAGCTCAGAGCAGCAGCACAGTGATCCAGATTCACATATAGCGCAGACAGCTGCGCTCCACCCACACACAGCTTCTCCCTGAGAACACACACATATACACATAAGACTTCTCGCTCATGTTTGTAAGGAAGCTTATTTCCATCACGGAATAAAACAATAAGGTTATTGTTAAGTGTGACTTTTCGTGATTCTGTATTTTTCGAAACAAAAAATATAAATAAATCATTCTATATAATTATTAGTATTCAAATATGTCTCCTTCTGTGTTCCACTGAAATAAGATTATACAAAATTGGAACGACACGTAAATGATGGCAGTTTTCATTTTTGGGTGAACTAAAAAGGGTTACATTGGACAACATTCTTCATTGTTCTTCTCTATTTGATACAAAATAGAAGCAGATAGGATGAAGGTTGGGTGTGCCTCACACACGTCCTGAAAAGTGAAGCTGCGGACTCTTTGATCGCCCCCTGGTGGCTGGATGCAGTACAGGTCATAAACCCCGCCCTCTCCATGTAAACGAATGGTACTTGAGTCAAAATAAAAAAATTAATTAGATTCCAATACAGCTTTCCGAAAGATGGTTTTGGTCATTTAAGGTAGTTGTTATCACGCTGATATATGTTCAATTGTTCGTTTTTGTGATAAGTTTGATTTTAGCTAGTAATTTGATGCTATAAAAACGGGGCGTGTCATTTTGGTTGATTGGGTCTGCGGGAGTTTGATACCGCCGCTCCACCTCACGACACTATTGCACAGACTCGGGCTCCAAACGAATATCTACTGCGCAGACCCGGGCTCCAAATCAATCTCTACTGCGCAGACTTGGGCTCCAAATGAATCTCTACTGCGCAGACCCGGGCTCCAAATCAATCTCTACTTCGCAGACTCGGGCTCCAAATGAATCTCTACTGCGCAGACTCGGGCTCCAAATGAATCTCTACTGCGCAGACTTGGGCTCCAAACGAATATCTACTGTGCAGACCCGGGCTCCAAATCAATCTCTACTGCGCAGACTCGGGCTCCAAATCAATCTCTACTGCGCAGACCCAGGCTCCAAATCAATCTCTACTGTGCAGACTCGGGCTCCAAATCAATCTCTACTGCGCAGACTCTGGCTCCAAACGAATATCTACTGCACAGAACCGGGCTCCAAATGAATCTCTACTGCGCAGACTCTGGCTCCAAATGAATCTCTACTGCGCAGACCCGGGCTCCAAATGAATCTCTACTGCGCAGACCTGGGCTCCAAATCAATCTCTACCGCGCAAACTCGGGCTCCAAATTAATCTCTACTGCGCAGACTCTGGCTCCAAACGAATATATATTGCGCAGACCCGGGCTCCAAATGAATCTCTACTGCGCAGACTCTGGCTCCAAACGAATATCTACTGCGCAGATCTGGGCTCCAAATCAATCTCTACTGCGCAGACTCGGGCTCCAAATTAATCTTTACTGCACAGACCCGGGCTCCAAATCAATCTCTACTGCGCAGACTCGGGCTCCAAACGAATATATACTGTGCAGACCCGGGCTCCAAATGAATCTCTACTGCGCAGACTCTGGCTCCAAACGAATATCTACTGCGCAGACCTGGGCTCCAAATGACGTCATTTACTCAAGATGGCAGCGGCCATACTGAGATGCTTTGGCTTCACTTTTCTATAGTGGAAGGAATAGGAGACGCGTCGTCCATCTTTTTTTACAGTCTATGGTTGGAACAGTAAGCAAATTAAGCAATGACGATTTGATCTGCCTAAACAGTTGTTAGTGTTCCTGATTGTTCCTGCTGTTTTACTTCACACAGGATAACTTCTGCTACACTGTCTGTGGTTCCAAACAGGAAGTGGATGTCTCGTACACAGGAAGCGAAAGAGATCGAGAGAAGGTGGCTGAAAAAATGTCTTTGCAGAGACCTGATGAGGACACTTCATATATTTATATAGTTATACAATTTTTTACTTTAATAATGAATGCAGCAGTTTTACTGCAAATTATAAGAGTTCTTTATGGGCTAAAATTGAAGCGTTTAAATCAGAGGGCTAAAATCTGGGAAGAAAATGGTCTTTTGTTTCTAAATTATGACAGATTTTGATGTAAAAATCCAACAAAAATGGTAAATGCACCTAAGGAAACAGAATTTATTAATAAAAATTTTTTAATTTATGACCCCTTTAATACAAGGCAATTGCAAAAATCTAAGTTAGCATGCCGTTAACTTTATATATCTACAGGAAATGCTTTACTGACTACAACGAAATTGTTCCCCGTGCTTATTACTAGCGTTCATGGGAAAGGAAAGGCATTTAAACAATTGCAGAAATCTCTGCGTCACAGTCACACAGGCAGTCTGCTCTCTCTCTCCCTGGCACAGTGTTTCACAACTGACTTGAATGAAGGCCATTATTGTGTTACTTTATTTCTCTCCTCCCTCTCTTTCTTGCAACCTGTTGCTGCTTGTTGCCTTATTTTGTTCACATTTTGTGTTCCCCAATGGATGTTACATAACCACCCAAAAAAAAAAAAAAAAATGAAGGAATGCATGCACTTGTCCTTCTCCAATGCAAACCCTCACTAAGCTGGTTTATATAATGAAGGGTATGGTGGAAGTAAAGACCAGGACTGGCCTGGAATGCTGTCTTTGCTCATTTCATAAATAGTTCTGAAAATACATACTGTATTTTGAATGTATTGAAGATACATTGTCAAATGTAATCTAAGTTTTGAAAACGAATATACATTTTTCATAATGTACATTATGATGTGGCATAGCATTTAAAATGACTCATTTTAGTTTTAATGTTTTACTATTTATTTATTTATTTAGACAAGACAGAATTATAATATTGGCCATATGATGAAAATGATCAGTGCATCTCTAATACTTATAACCACTATACGCTATACTGTTCAAAAGTCTGAGGTCAGTAAGACTTTTTAATGTTTTTTGAAAGAAATCTCTTGTGCTATCAATGCTGCATTTATTTGATCAAAAATATAGTAAAAAATAAAGTAATATTGAAATATTATTACAATTTAAAATAACTCTTTTTCCATTTTAATATATTTTAAGATGAAATGTATTCATGTGATAGCAAAGCTGAATTTTCAGCAGCCCTTACTACTCAGTGTCACATGATCCTTCAGAAATCATTCTAATATGCTGATTTGCAGCTCAAGAAACATTTCTTATTATCAATGTTGAAAAAAGTTGTGATGCTTGATATTTTGTGAAACCTGTTACACATTTTTTTTTATTCTTTGATGCATAGAAAGTTCAAAACAACAGAAGGGTTGACATAGAATGAATTTTTCAATATAAAAGTCTTAACTGTCACTTTTGATCAATTTAAAGCATCATTGCTGGATAAAAGTCATAATTTCTTTAAAAAAAAAAAAGATCTACTGACCCCAAACATTTGAGCAATAGCATACAGTGTTTAACCTATGTATAGGATATAACCCCTTTTTTTCCAAAACAAATAAAAAGCTAAAAATAAAAAAAACTAAAAAGTATGGGATGTGGTTTGTGGTGAACACAAAGGACTCCATTCCTTCAGCCTTGCAACTATCCACTTCACAACAGTGCTGCCATGGCAACTGTACAACATGTTGGCAGCGAGAAAGCCAACGACAGCAGAGTGAATGCTTTATGAAGCCAATCCTTAACAAAACGACAACTAAACAGAACATAACACCGCAGTGACGGTGCTCGCTCGAAAACAAACACGCAACACTGAACATCAGATAAAAGCAGCAGCAGCAGCGTCTCAGACGTCATGAGTTGACAGCGTCAGCGCGGTGCCTGGTTGCTTAGATATGAACCCCTGTTGAGAGAATTAGCACCTAAAGACAAGATGTTCATGAACATCAATAAATAACAGTTTTCTGGTACCGTAAAACATATACTGGAGCTTTTAGTTACAGATTAACTTCGGGAGGGATCATTTTAAGTAATCTTGAGGCCACAAATCAATAGTACATGAGATGACAGCCCAACTGACTTCTAAAGTCTTTCTAAAGTTATGAAATGTTCAGAAAGCCGAAGCAAAGCCTGATAGCTTACTGAAACCAGTGTGTTATGTAACAGGTCACATTGAGGCAACTGATAATGTATGCTTCATATGTATTTGTGGGTGTTATTCAGTCATGCCACCACAGTTTGGGCACATGACCTGATCATTGTGTCTGCGCATTGGCATACATTATCTGCCAGTTCTGATCAGGCCCATTAAAGCCTGCATTTGACACACGTGGATTAGTGCGTGAAATGAGGTCACGGAGTTCTTGGGTGTCGCGGCTCATTGACTGAGCTGAGGTAAGTGAGCTGCTAAAGATCAGCTGTCAATGGCTCTACAAATGTGCGCGCGAGCGTGTCGCTACACTTGACTGATAAGGTTAATCAACGAACATCTTCTTCGGCCCTGAAGACACAGACTAACAAAGCCTTGACAAACACACGCAGAGTCAAAGTTTGCAAGTGGCAATCCTGCTTAATAAACAGTTACAAATGAGATTAAGAAACCAGAGCTGACAGTGCAAACATGACACTTTTAACATGTAAATACAGCCCAGTGGAAAATTAAGTTACACTGTGTGAATATTAATCATTAAATTAATTATGGAGAAAGTGGATTAGTCATGAAGACTTTGCTCTGGAGTGAAGTAACTTAACATACATATTCATAAGCCATGCTTCCAGTAGTAGGATTGGTTAGTTATTAAGTTGATTAGTACACACCATAATACATTTCAGTAAATTGAGCAAAGCCTTCCCTTAAGTAAAATTTGCAAATTACAGCATGCTAAATTTAGAATTTTGCAATAACTTTATGCACATCTAGTATATGGATACACTATATGATATATAGAACAATATAAAAATGTTGTATTTTAACTGATTGACATTTTTATAGAATTAAAGGGGTCATATGATGCGATTTCAATTTTTCCTTTCTCTTTGGAGTGTTACAAGCTCTTGGTGCATAAAGAAGATCTGTAAAGTTGTAAAGACTAAAGTCTCAAATCCAAAGAGATATTCTTTATAAAAGTGAAGAGTTAACCACGCCTACCTAAAATGGCTCATTCTAACCCCCCCCCCCCCACATATCTACATCACTATGTGGTAAGATTTGCATAACGCCGCCCAAATGTTCATGCAAAGAAAGAAGGCGCGACTTTTATTCTCGCTGTAGTATTGTTGTTACCGCTGCCGCCATGTCATGAAGACGCTGTGTGCTTCGTTGTGAAAGCGAAATTACTTTGTTTGGCCTTCCAAAAGAGAACGATATCTGCTTCATCATGCCTAGAGCTGATCCATGCTGGTCGCTAATGAAACTTTGCGCTGTCGATCGCCAGATCGGCTTTCACCGTGGATGAAGCGAGTCCAGCCCGGTGTCATCACATGTGGTCACCACAAGCCCACCGGCCGCTCCTTCGTCGAATCTGCCGGCCGCGCCGTTCTCAAGCCCACCGGCCGCAGCTAACTCTAGGCTGCCGGCCGTTCCTCACTCTAGCCCGCCGTGTGTTTCGTTGTGAAAGCTAAACTACTTTGTTTGACCTTTCAAAAGAGGACACAACTAGAAATCAGTGGTTAAGTTGTATTTACAACACTGTTCCAGAACAGTTCAACCCAAATATTCAGATGTGTGCAGCACATTTTGCGGAGGGAGAGGACTGTTTCCTGTGAGAATAGCCTACAATGCCGGTGTCTGTTTCTATAAAGTGGGGCAGTTCCAACTTTGCAAGGACAGTCTGGCGCTTCTGACTCACAGCCTGTAAGTAAGTTTTTTATATTTAAAGAATTTGCCACTGACGATTCAAACGCGGGTTTTGAGCAGTGTAGAGTAGGGCTTGTTGTTTGTCATTTCTCCGATCACAAATGCAGATATGGTTTTATGTTTACGCAACGCGATACGCAACGCGTAAAAAGACAGTATAAATCATTATAATCAGTAATTATGTCCCCACTGGATGCAACAAATACCTTGTTTGTAATGGGTTTTATTGTTTTTGTCTTGTCGCGCCGGGACACAGGGCATCACAGTATGGTAGGGGCGTAACATTTCCGTCACCCGCTTGAGGTATTCGGCCAATCACAACGCACTGGATAGCTGGCCAATCAGTGTACACCTCGCTTTTCAGAACGATAAGCTTTATAAAAATCGACGCATTTCAGAAAGGCGGGGCATAGAGGAGCAACAATAATGTACATTATGTGGAAAATAATGTTTTTTGAACCTTAAACCGCATAAACACATTGCATTACACCAAATCCACAACATAATGTTATTTTTAGCAGCATCACATGACCCCTTTAAAAATGGAATAAGATAACACCCTTCAAGGTCTAGAGACACGTTTTTAAAATGCAAAATTATTATTTTAAATTTTTTACATTAAACTTAAATACAACTAGCTAAACTTCTAACAGTTATAAATTCTATGAAAGCTTAAATATCTATAAAATATATACATTAAGATATTATTTATATATATATACAAATATTTATATTTGAATGTTCATAAACTAATGATCTGTATAGATCTGTCTATGATATTCGTTACTGGCATTGTAAAATGACTGAGGACTTGAAATGTGCTTTTTAAAATACAATTATTATATTACATTGCAATGACAACTGCTTTTGATAACCAAAATACAACACAGATATGCTTGTGACACATTAATATTACAGTGTATTTATTAATTTAACTTTTTCTTTTCTGACTGTCAGATTCCTTATCCTCCAGTTTCCTGGGAACAATTCATTTAAAAAAATTAAAGGTGTAATCTGGAAATTGTTTTATCAAGCCATCAAATGAGTCTCTTCTATAGTAAAATGACATAAAACCACATCAATGCAAATCTTAATATTTACGCGTGCAATCACATTAGAGTCTTTATACACTGAATAATATGAAAATCTTTAAGGCAAGATAAAACATGCTTATGTTCTAGTTTCCAGTTAGAACAAGTTTCACAAACACCTTTGAACACTGCTAGGAATAAATTGCGAAATATCTTAACCAGAATTGTGTATACTGGCTAACGACTCAGGGGAAAGAGGTGATGTATCATTAAATGCACTCTATGTATCAATAATGCCTTCCTCAGTATCAAAGTGTGATTTAGAGTGCACAAGAGGACAGTTTTCAGCATAACCTGTTATTACACAGCTGACACATTAGTGAGAGTTATTGCACAGAATGCAGCGCAATGTCAGAGCACTAGATCTAACTAGATTTGTGAAGCACACAAATCTCAAGTTTATTTAGTATAGAAACTCAACTAAAATAACAAGCATTCCACTCGAAATCCAACATTAGTGGTGAGATTAAAATGTAAATTCTTATATATAAAATAAGCAACAGCTTACAAATGCTGACCTTTTATGTTTTTTGCACTTTTTTGTGCTTTATAAAAACCTGTATATACCCTGTATGATTTATACCTTTAGCTGAGAGAGAATTTCTTTGATATGCAATCAAAATTTTAACTAGATATATGCCGGAATGAAAATCTGATCAAAATACACTAACGTTCAAAAGTTGGGTCGGTAAGACTTTTTTTGTCTGTATTTATTTGGAAAAAAAAAAACTGTTATAATATGCTGAAATATTAACAATGTTTAAAATAACTGTTCTCTGTTTTTATACATTTTATAATATAACTTTAAAATAAGCAGAATTTTCAGCAGCCATTACTCCAGTCTTCAGCATCACATGATCCTTCGGATATCATTCTAACGTTAATTTGGTTCCTAAAAAAACCATTTCTTATTTGATGAATTTTGATGATTCTTTGATGAATAGAAAATTCAAAATAACAGAATGGATTTGAAATAATTTTTTGTAACATTGTACAAGTCTTTGCTGTCATTTTTGATCAATGTTAATGCATCCTTGCATAAGAGTATTAAATTCTTTCCAAAAAACAAACAAAAAAACCCATACTGCCCCTAAATTCTCAATGAAAATCCAAATAGGATTTTAATATCACATGTACACAACGAACAATAAACAGGTCATGATTCATTTTGCCATTCAAACCAGAACTGTCTTCTGAGGTTTGGGTAGGATTATGATGCAATAACGCTCTTAAAGTGGAAACTAGTCCTCTGAGACAGTAGATGCCTGCCGAGACCTGCTGAAGCGAGCACTGACCTGAGAACAGAATGCTGTGCTCCAGCTGAAATGCCTTTCTGCTGAATGTGGGCAGTGTTGAAACGATCATAACAGAACAAACTGCACTATGCACGTAGCCGGGTTAATAAAAGCAAAAAAATCTGTGAGTATGACTTGCAGATAAAGTAATGAGTCTCATCTATCTCATGACTCTTAACTAACCGGTATTCCTGTTGAGACACGCAATCAAACAGGTCCCTAGCAGTGAAACGTGGCTCCATAGCAGCAATCTGAAAGCAGAAAGCATTTCTGTTAACATCTAGTACACAACGTCCAGCCCGACACACATGTACTGGATAATCACCGCCTCAGATTTATGCTGAATGTATTGTTAAAAAAAAAAAGTTCAAAATGTTGGGGTCAGTAAGATTTTTAATTATTTTTAGTTGGGTAGGGGTTGGGGGAGAGAAAAATTAATATTTTTATTCAGCAAGAATGCATTAAATTGATCAAAAGTTACAGTAAAGATATTTCTATTTCACAATAAATGCTGCTTCTGTGAACTTTCAAAAAAAAAGTATCACTGTTAAAATGTTAACTGTTATAATGATGATAAGAAATTACTTGAGTTATCTGAACAGCAAATCAGCATATTAGAATAATTTCTGAAGAATCATGTGACACTGAAGTCTAGAGTAATGGCTGCTGAAAATTCAGTTTTGACAAGTAATAAATTGCTTTTTAAAACATTTAAAATAAAAAAAAATTTAAGTTATTTTCTATCTTTTGATATTACGAATGTTTCGATCAAATTGGTGAGCATAAAAAACATTTAAAAATCTTACCGACTTCAAAATTTTGAATGGTAGTTGATTCTTTGACAACCAGAACTAAGCTATCTGAAGACTCAAAAAAAGATCCTCATACATGCTACCTTACAAGAGTTTAGATTTATTTGAGACCTTATTTTTTTTATTAGTGATTTATATATTTATTAAGAGGCTGTCAATGATACAAGCAGGAAGTTCAGTATGCCAGTGAGGTAAGTCATGGCTGCTATTACACTGCAACATATATAGCCGTCTCTGTGTAACTACAACTATGATACACTCCACGGTTTCTGCTCGTGAGATGCAGAGTACTTAATTTACAGGAAAAATTGCCATGTCATTGTAAAATCCGTCTGCCTGCAATCTATGAGCCGTAAAAGCTGCAGGAATGCTGAGCAACAGAAGTGAATCACAGAGACATGCTCCCATAAAGGATTAGGAGAGGGTTTGATAATGAGTATGTACTAACGATTATGCGGATAAAGACCGCCCCCCATGTGTGACACACACCTACCTCTGTCCTCAACATGCTCAAGTGACTAAGGACACACACTGAGCAAATTCTGCTTGGAGGCACATGATTGGAATGGTAATAGATGCTTCTAGGACTGCACAATTGTGTGTGATTTTTAGCATGTGTGTACCTCTGAAGAGCCTCCAGTAGCTGTTTCAGTGCAGTGGAGAGCCTTTGCAGGCAGGAGAGGGCTTCTTGAGGTTGGGGTGAGGTAGATGGCCGGCTGGGCTCAGTTGTTCCTGGAGCGTAGTGGAGTGCTGTAAACAAAGCTGAACTGAAGAGAGAGAAACAAACGGAAATAAACAATGAAAACAAATAAGTAAAATAACACTGTAATGCAGTGAACTTTCTGTTTTGTTTGTTGTCGGTAAAGCCTCAGTAGATAGTGTAAGGTAGATCAGCATTTCTTCAATTTCTTCAAGTGTAATATTTTAGCAAAGAATGTCTATAAAACCTACACTGAATACAAAACACAAAACAAACAAACAAAAAAAAGAATGTAATATTTTTGAAAGATGTTACAGAAGTTTAAAAAAATACAGTAAAAACAGTAATATTACAGTATTATTACAACTTAAAATAACAGCTTTCTATTTTAATATATTTTTAAAACGTAGTTTATTCCTGTGATGGCAAAGCTGAATTTTCAGCAGCCATTACTCCAGTCTTCAGTGTCACATGATCCTTCAAAAATCTATCTAAAATGCTGATTTAATGCGCAAGAAACATTGTATTTATATTAATGTTGAAAACAGTTGTGCTGCTTTATATTTTTGTGGAAACCATGATAAAAAATATATTTTTTGAATGAACTGAAAGTTCAAAAGAACAGCATTTATTTAAAAATACAAATATTTTGTATTTAGTAAAAATTATAACTTTGATCTTTGAAGTTTAAATTTCTTTAAAAAAATCTTACTGAGCCCAAACTACTGAGCAGTAGTGCATGTTGAGAAATAAATACACTTCAGTCTTTGTCATTGACTCTCTCACCTAATCTGACACACGTTGTTCCAGATGCTCTCAAATAATGCCCAAACTTCCTGATGGGATGTCCGAGGAGGCGGAGCTACATCCTCCTCTATCTCTGCCATCAGAGAGTCCTCTTTATCAGTGTCATCACCCTCTACTGGAGACTGTCACACACACACACAGTTCATGTCATAAGCAATTAGAATGAAACAATTATCCATTGTTGTATCATAATGAGACTGACCTGTAGTCTTTGCTGTAGCATATGAATGGTAGAGAGAGCTTGAGCTACATGACCGTTGTACGGAGATCTGCCAGCCAGTGCTGACAGCAGCTCTGCAGCCAATCTCACAGCTCTGAGAAAAGATCTGTGCTCTATGGACCATTATAACTTTGATCTTTGAAGTTTAAATTTCTTTAAAAAAATCTTACTGAGCCCAAACTACTGAGCAGTAGTGCATGTTGAGAAATAAATACACTTCAGTCTTTGTCATTGACTCTCTCACCTAATCTGACACACGTTGTTCCAGATGCTCTCAAATAATGCCCAAACTTCCTGATGGGATGTCCGAGGAGGCGGAGCTACATCCTCCTCTATCTCTGCCATCAGAGAGTCCTCTTTATCAGTGTCATCACCCTCTACTGGAGACTGTCACACACACACACACAGTTCATGTCATAAGCAATTAGAATGAAACAATTATCCATTGTTGTATCATAATGAGACTGACCTGTAGTCTTTGCTGTAGCATATGAATGGTAGAGAGAGCTTGAGCTACATGACCGTTGTATGGAGATCTGCCAGCCAGTGCTAACAGCAGCTCTGCAGCCAATCTCACAGCTCTGAGAAAAGATCTGTGCTCTATGGACCTGTCTACAGACAGACACAACACAACATAATATAACTGAGATTCAGTGGTGTAATGTAACAAAGTAATAATATTTCGTTACAGTACTTAAGTATTAAAAGTTTTGGCTGTGACATAAATTTTGTGTTTTGCATTCACATTGTTTCTAGATTATTGTGTAGAGTGATCAGATGCATTTTAAATAACTGCTAAAAGCTTAATTGGCCAAAAAATTTACTTTTCACAAAAACAAAAAAACTAATTTCACCGTTTCTGATCCTGACACAAAATGACCAGCTAACATTAATTGACTAATCATATCAGCAGCACATGTGAAAGTGTGAATGAGTACTAGTCAGGTTAAATCACTATCATACTAATTAGATTGTAAGAGCAGACTGATTGCTATAAAAGGAGGGAAGAAGCGCTTCCAATCATTGTGTCCTCGTTAGCAATGGTTACCTCCAAAGAAACACGTGCAGCCATCATCGCTTTGCATCAAAATGGCCTCACATGCAAGGAAATTGCTACAAAGAATATTGCACCTGAAAGAATAAATATACCGGGACTGCAGAAGACTGGTGCAAAGTTATTTTCTCTGATGATGCTCCCTTCCGACTGTTTGGGACATCTGGAAAATTGATTGTTCAGAGAACAAATGGTGAACGCTACCATGAGTCCTGTGACGCGCCAACAGTGAAGCATCCTGAGACCATCCATGTGTGGGGTTGCTTTTCAACCAAGGGAGTGGGCTCTCTAATAATTCTGCCCAAAAACACTGCCATGAACAAAGGATGGTATCAAAACGTCCTGCAAGAGCGACTTCCAACAATCCATGAGCAATTTGGTGATGATCCATACATTTTCCAGCATGATGGAGCACCATGTCACAAAGCAAGAGTGATAGAAAGTGGCTCGAAGATCATTACATTGAAATTTTGGATCCGTGGCCAGGCAACTCCCCAGATCTCAATCCCATAGAGAACCTGTGGTCAGTCCTCAAAAGGCAAGTGGACAAGCAGAAGCTCACAAATTGTGATCAACTCTGAGAACTAATAAGACAAGAATTAATCGCCATCAGTCAGGATTTGGCCCAGAAGCTAATATCCAGCATGCCAGAGCGAATTGCAGAGGTTATGAAGAACAAGGGTCAACACTGTAAATATTGACTCGTTATATATTTTTGCCTAAAAGCCTTTAAAACTTATGATATGCATAACATTGTTTTTTAGTATACCATAGAAACATGTGGAAAAATAATCTACAAATACTGAAGAAGCAAACTTTGCAAAACACAAAATTTGTCACAGCCAAAACGTTTGGCCATGACTGTACTTGAGTTTTTATATTTCAGACAACTTTTACTTTTACTACTTTCACTACTTTTCCTAATTAAAATGTATACTTTTACTCCGATACATTTCCCCGAAGCATATTCGTTACTTACTACAAAATAGTCAGCAGTCAGAAGAACAAGGACTAGAGGAAAGCAGGTTTGACGAATTTTGTCGAATCAGTGGTCTGGCGCTTGCAAGTTAGACTCCTAAAAACACCTTTGCTCATGCAAACAAGTGCGCAAACAACCGCGGATGATTTCATTTTCCACTCAAGTCGAGTCTGGGGTGTGCGATATACAGTATATCTTCTGCGATAATATGGTAAGTGTTGTTGTAATGATGTGCGATCTGACAAGTATACCTGTATATCACCAAATCACACACACAGAGTGCATGCACATGATTTATTAGTATATTAAAACTCAAAATTCAAGGCATTCTAAATTGTAGATGGAAAAAATGCTTCTGAATGCTTTTTATATTCATATAATTTAATATAGTTAATCTATATCACACAATAAGTACCGTTTTTCTGCAGATATTAGCATGAACACATTTAATAATCATTTTATACAAGTTCAGTAAATTAGCAAGAAGTGACTTGCATTTTAGACATAATATTGCTTGTTACTGCTCAATTTTGCCAATGAAAATAGTTCCAAACAAAGATCTCAGCACTGTTTTGCGTCTCTGAGCAATGGACGGTGTTTACTTATTGAATGAATCAGCTTTTTGAACGAATCGGTTGAATAAATGATTCAGTGATTCACTTAAATGCTTTGTTCCTGAATGAATCAGCCGTTTGAACGAATCTGTTGAAGCTCAATGACTCACTCATTAATAGTCACTTGCTGTCACCTACTGGCGGTTTTAATTTCACATTTTGACTTTTTTTTTTTCATGTTTTAAAATCATTTCAAATATCAGTCTTCAACATATTATGTTAAAAACAAAATATTATTTATGCATCTGTAACTACAGTTTAAATGCTTCCATGTCCCCTCTGAGATACATTAAACTGTGCTCCATGTCCCCTCTGAGATACATTAAACTGTGTAAATACATCTAAATGCCACTTCAGACGCAGATTCCAGAAATCTTTTCTTATGTTGGAATGAAAGACACTAAGTACCGGATGAAGTGCTTCTTGTCTCTGAGCAATGGACGGTGTTTACTTATTGAATGAATCAGCTTTTTGAACGAATCGGTTGAATAAATGATTCAGTGATTAACTTAAATGCTTTGTTCCTGAATGAATCAGCCGTTTGAACGAATCTGTTGAAGCTCAATGACTCACTCATTAATAGTCACTTGCTGTCACCTACTGGCGGTTTTAATTTCACATTTTGACTTTTTTTTCTTCATGTTTTAAAATCATTTCAAATATCAGTCTTCAACATATTATGTTAAAAACAAAATATTATTTATGCATCTGTAACTACAGTTTAAATGCTTCCATGTCCCCTCTGAGATACATTAAACTGTGCAAATACATCTAAATGCCACTTCAGACGCAGATTCCAGAAATCTTTTCTTATGTTGGAATGAAAGACACTAAGTACCGGATGAAGTGCTTCTTATTCTTACCCAAAAATACAAAACATTTTGACTTTTTTTTCTTCATGTTTTAAAATCATTTCAAATATCAGTCTTCAACATATTATGTTAAAAACAAAATATTATTTATGCATCTGTAACTACAGTTTAAATGCTTCCATGTCCCCTCTGAGATACATTAAACTGTGCAAATACATCTAAATGCCACTTCAGACGCAGATTCCAGAAATCTTTTCTTATGTTGGAATGAAAGACACTAAGTACCGGATGAAGTGCTTCTTATTCTTACCCAAAAATACAAAATGGAAGAATAAGTTAAAACTGAACACAATCTTGCTACTCAAGCTGTATGAACTTTTTTTTATATAGATATTTATTTGCTTCTTTTCCATTTTGCATTTACTTGTACTTTTACTTTCAAAAAATACTTTTCGTACTTAAGTACATTAAATATCGCATACTTTAAGACTTTTACTCAAGTAATATTTGTAAACGGTGACTTCAACTTCTACCAAACTCATTTTCTGGAAAGATATCTGTACTTTTACTCGAGTATGGCTCTCAGGTACTTTATACACCACTGCGGAGATTAGATAGATAAGATGGACACACATGCCCATCTGCAATACAGTTCATACACATTTTCTACTGTGTCACAATACATTCCCATTACTGGGTATAATAGGAAAAAGACAGAAGTAGGCAGAATACAAAGGTTCACAAATGTGTTCACAGCTCTAAGTGGGAGTGACACCCGTTTATCACCTCTTGGACACATACCACTAACCCACTAAAACAAAAGAACACACTAAATGAGTGAAGGTTACTCTCTCAACTCCATAATGCGCAGCAAATCACATTTAAGCAAGAACAGGAGGCCCCCGGTACTTTTCCACCCCTCCATTCCAGCACAAACTCCCTTTCTCCCCTCTGTTGGGCTGGGCTCATGGCCAAAGGCAGCAGAGAAGAAAGCCACAGTCATACTCCTGCTGCAGTGATTGGCAGAATGAGGTCAAACTCATAACTCCACATACAACATGAGAACAGAGTGTGTATGAGTGTGGATCAAAACCACAAACTCAAGAGATGCGCACACACACACACACACACACCAATTATACTGGTTTTTAGTTTGGAACCTTTAAAGGAATAGTTTACCCAAAGATGATTTCTGTGATCATATACTCAATAGTATTTTCTTCCCACACAATCTGGGGACCAGCAACTGTTTGGTTAACTACATTCTTCAACATATTTTTTTTTGTGTGTGTTCAGGTTTGGAAAAACTTGAGGGTGAGTAAATGATGACAGAATTTTTGGGTGAACTATCCCCTAAAAGTTTTTTAAGAAGGTTTACCAAGGCTGCATTTATTGATCAAAAATATAGTAAAAACAGTAATATTGTGAAATATTATTGCAATTTGAAATAACTACTTTCTATTTTAATACATTTTAAAATGTAATTTATTCCTGTGATGCCAAAGCTAAATTTTCAGCAGCCATTACTCCAGTCTTCAGTGTCACATGATCCTTCAGAAATCATTCTAATAATCATTCTCACAGTTTTTCTTTTGAAAACTATGATAGATTTTTTCAGGATTCTTTGGTTAATAGAAAGTTCAAACAAAACAGGATTTATTTAAAATAGAAATTGTTTGTAACATTATAAATGTCTTTACTGTCACATTTGATCAATTTAATGCATCATTGCTAATTAAAAGTACATTAAACATTTGAACGGTAGTGTAACAGAACAGAATTCTTGAATAGAATATAAATACAATTTTAAAATGGGATAGAACAAGACTCAACAAAATTCTCAAATTAGAATATAATTCAAGTAAAAATGAGATTCTAAGTTAGAGCAGAATAAAATTTTAGTTTATTATAGTAATCAGTATCAGACTAAAGTAGTAAGACTTACACACCTGAACAGAGACAGTCACTCAGCATCTCCACACAGCTGAGCAGGCTCCTCTTAATAATGCTTCCGAACACAGCGATCCAGTGCTTCTTAAAACACTTGAGCAGCCCCTCCAGATTCCACGGAGGCTTCACATACACTATCTGCATACACAAACAGATAAGGTCACAGAGAATGGGACTACAGTGAATCTAAGCTTTGAATCACACTTTAGATATGACTAATGCATTTAGATGAATGAGGAGCAGCTCTTAATATAAACTTCATAAAATATTAATAGATGAATAGATCAATGTGTGCAGAGAGTGCAGTGGTACCTCAGTCCACAGTTCTCCATAAGCTGCCTTCATCTCTTCCTCCAGCACTTCAGACAGCGCACCCTGGAGGCAGGACTCCAGCAAAGACACACACTCACTCAACTGTCGTTCCTCTGCTGCATCGCTGCGTCTATTCTTTTGTGATCCTTCCTCCTCGGCTTCATTCACACAGGGGGTGGCAACAAAATGACATTCAGGTATTCAGAAAAATGCTACTAATGAAGCAAAAACAGTGACACATAACAGCTGACCTTTCTCTACAGGTCGAGCTGGGGGCGGCACAGCGGGTTGAGCATGGATGTAGTTTAGAAGTGTAGATCTGGTTCCCTCCACCTCTTGTACCAAGTCTGCCTTACTTAAGGCATTCACCCCACTGAGCAGAGCCTTGCTGCATAAGTTCTTATCATTGCTACAAAAAATATATATATATTTGAGCAGCAGGAAGGCATGTCCTGTACCTTCAATAAGAATATTCTTCAGGGTGACACTAATGGCTGAAATATAATCATTAAATCAGATCATCTTCATTCATAAAGCAAACACATGGCCAGCTTGCATTTCATTAGCTGTCAAATGACAAGACAGATCAAATAAATGGGAATGTTCTTAATGTGCAGACATGCCTAGAGGTGAAACTGAGGTATGACTGTTTATACTCACGTGCAAAGAACTAGAGCTCCCTCTGGGTACAGAGCCTGGTACTGCAGACAACACTCTAGCACTCTGTCATCATTATTTACAACACCAGGCCCACCTAAAGGAGAGAAAAGCCATTAGACACATGGCCGGAATCATAGAATCCATAGTATGCACAGTACTATGGCAGATTAGGAGTGGTGCAGCTATGTCAAAATTATGTCTTGAAAAGTATGTAAATGTAAATAATAATGCATCTCAGGATAAGAATTCCTCACCAACAGCTTGGGAGGCCTGCTGCATTGACTGACCCACAAGTCTGGGCTCCTGATTTTTCAGGCAGCTATAAATGTAGTGGACAGCAGGTCTGGCTTTGTCTTCCACCTTGCTGGAGAGTTTACCACTCTTTAGATAGTCCAACTCCTGCAGCACAACCCATGGGATCAGCAAAGTGGGGAACCCCAGCCCTGTGATGGGGCGTTCAGAGTGAAAAGCTGCACCCACATAATTCTTCAAATGTTTTAAAGTTAAAAAGCTAGCATCTTAAAAACTCTCTTTTTTTTCTTACCACCGAGACCATGTGACCTAATCTTCTTCACAAACTCCAGGTGGCTGAGCAGCACATTGGTATCCAGAACAATAAGCAGGCCATGTTTATGTTGCTCTTCACATGTGTGAATTAAAGACACAAAGACAATAAAGCACAATTATGCATTATGATTCAAATAAAAGAACCTTTACAAGCTTTATCATGATGATAACAATAACAATAAAGATATCATTTTAAATCATTCTAAATGTAAATACATAAGACAGTCCACACCACAACTACAACAATAGTGGCACAGAGGAATGATATGGTTGGATTCACTTTCACAACAATCTTTTTTGGCAGCTGATGAACTATAAAAACATTGACATCCATCCAAACATTGACACAGTTAATGTTATATTTTCTTTATAGTTACATTTCTTAGTGAATGGGCCTTTAGCCACTTCAGTAATAAGTTTTTTTTTTTTTAAATGCATAGGTGACTTTACTTAGCATTGTGCTGGCACCCTCTTCTGGAGGGTCAATGTCCATGCAGGTGAGCTCTCCACAGTTCTCCACCAACTTCACCTGTAGTCGCCTCTCAGAGCGTGCCAGAAGAAGCTCCTCCACCAGCTCCATCTAAACAATGAACGAAACAGAATGAGAAACAAACACAGAAGATTTCATTCTAAAATCCTAGGCATGTTGTTAACCTCATGGTCGCAGTCCAAGGTCTCTTCCTGAGGAGTTACCTGAAATTGTACAAAACAAGTTTTAGAGATATGTTACAATTCAGCAGCATTAATAAAGTTCAAATTCACTGTTGTTTGCTCTTAAATACGGTCTAAAATTGACCATATTCTCTTTTTTGTTGTCTGTAATGCTGTGAGGACTATTGGATAATGTTAACCAGTTTGCAAATAGCCTTTTAGCCACGGTTTTAGTGAACTCTCATACAGATCTCACTGCATTCTGCTATAGAACTGTGGTGGATCTATCACAACTTTTACTTTTCCAGTACAGAAACAAGTCTTCTGTACAAGTACAACAGCATGATGTTGGTCTGGCGACTGCACGACAGGTGTTTTAAAATCACCACTGAAAAGTGGAGCAATCAATTTACAAAACAGCAAAATAACACAGGATGCAACAGCGAGAACCGTCTTTCACCACTGATTCAGATGAAGTTGGTCCAAATGCAAGACACTTACATGTTGAACCTTGCAGGAAGTATTGTTCGGCGTTGTCACCTCTCTTGTTTTGTCAGCGTGTGCCTGCTGGACTTGGTGAGATATAGATGAAAGATGTGATGAGCTAAGAGCAGTGGGTTTATGAGAGGTTTGAGCAGAAACCTCTTGAAGCCTCTGTCCTTGCTGCTGTGAGATGAGAAATTTGTGTTTAGATGGAGTGGAACCAGGGAAAGAAGGCTGAGCGGTACTTTGAGTCCTGCTATCTGCAGAATTCACATTACACACATCCGTGTTTGTCCAAGCTTTAACAGCACTGGCCTTCTTTGGGATCTTGAAACTGACATTTACTGTGGGACCACCAAGGGATGGCCTTTTTTCTCCTAAGAATACATCAGGTACATTACCCAAGTGTACATGCTCTTGCTTCTTGGGTGAAATGTCTTCTTGTAATTTCAGTTTAGATCCAGAGTCTACATGTTTCACTACTGGCAAAGCTTCTTTGGAGTTGTTATGAGAACTCTGTGCACCAACATTACGGTTGATCTTCTTGTACCTCCTGGCCTCCAATGTCTTCCTCATTTCCTTTTGAACTTCAGAATGAGATTCTGCATGTGCAGCATTGGTCATATTTTTAATGTCTCTTCGTTTGGGTTCAGCATGAAGCTCTGGTGACAACGGCCTTTTCACAAGCTTCCTCCTTTTCTCCTGGAGTTTCTCAGAGGGACAATCATCCTTTGCAGGTATCCACCTGGGATACTCTGCTGTGGATCTCCTCGACACCAGCTCCCGTCTCTTTTTCTCCAACTCATTTGAAGAAGGCTGGTTTGTTGCAGCATGCCTGCTGGAGCTTCTCCCTGAGATATGGGGACTTGCATTTTCATGCTTCCTTTTGGGATTTAGTTGCTCTTTCTCATGTGTGACAGGTGACTTGAAAACTGGCCTGGAATTCTCTGTTGCTTGGCTTTCTCGGGATCTTTCTTCTCTGCTCTTTCTGTCTCTAACTTCTGTTTTCTTGAATCTTCCTTCAAATCCTCTTGTTGATGTTGAGTCGGTGGCCCTCCTTTCTTTAGCTTTGTCTTGGCCAGAACTGCAAATTATTAGAAAAAGAAGCCAGTGGTAAGTTTTATTGAATAGATAACTCACAATAACTCTTTGGTGAGAAAACGGTGACTGAGGAAATATACAAATGTGATATGATTTACTTTCTATATTTGCTTTCTTTCTTTTAAGCGCCTTTATTAGGTTCTTCTTTATTTTAATTACATTTATTATGCTGATCATTTTAAACTTTTGGATTACATTATTATTACATTACATTATGTTTGATAATCACTCTTAGTAGACGAGTGGACTTTTTGAAGGGGCGAGTGAAAGAGAATTTTACTTGCCCAACCGGACAAATAGGCTGATTAAAACGGCAATATCAAAAAACAACAAGATAAAAACCGAAATTTCGATGAGAATAGTTCTTATTTTATATTGATAATGCATAATGTATTGACGGTGACAACCTGTGTGTGAGAGAGACTTACGGGGAAATCAAAACAGATGAGGGCAACAGCACACAAAAAGAAACATACAAACATACTTTGGTAAAACAGAACAAACATACATACTGTGCTAAAAAGTCAAAATGTTGAGTTTTTATATTTATAACATATGATAAACAGTTGAGTAACAGCACTATCATAAGCTCATTGCAAATGTGACATTTATTTTATAAAACAGTCCAACAAACAAGTATTAACGTTAATATATAGTGACTTACATTTTAGACATAATATTGACTGTTTTTGCTCTTTTTCACCAACGAAAAGAGTTCCACACAAATGTACAGCAGGACTCGCACATCTCCAATGAAAACATTATGTGGTTTCGTAACCGCATGATTCAGCGTTTTTGAACGAATCGAGTGAGTCAATGGTTCAATTACCTATTCATAAAGACGATCACTTGCTTCATTCTTGAATGAATCAGTAATTTGAACGAATCGGTTGAATGAATGACTGAATGACTCACTCACTCACTCACTCATTAAAACAGTCACTTGCCGCCACCTATTGGCGGTTTAGTTTCATATTTAGAAGTATCATTGCACTTTTCCAATATTTCCCATTTGCATATTCAGAAAATTTTATTTAAAACATTAATCCCCCAACATTATTTATGCATTTGTAATTTTGCAATGTAAATGCATTCATGATACTTCTGAGCTTCTGTGTAAATACATCTAAATGCCACTTCAGATGCAACTTCTGTGTTTCCTCTGTGGTGGAAAAATGACTTTTGTTGATACTGATTTCATATGATATGATATGGTTACAGCCCAATAGTGTCTAATTACTCTAATTGTATTTATTGATCATTTAAGAATTTGTCATGAAAGACGGTGCATAGATTTAATAAGGAACAAAACAGTGTCAGGGTTCTGTCACTTCGGTCTAGTGTAATTCATGGTTTTGTGACAGAGCCCTGACACCCGTCGTGTCGTTGTTTTCATGTGAGCACGTGGCTTCGAGAGTGCTCGAGCCGTGCGCTCTCGTCTGCGTATCCTGTTTCATGTTGGAACATGGTGTTCAGATCCTGGCACTCATGTCTTGTCGAGTTTCAATTTCATGTCGGGGTCCGGACACTCGTGCTCCATGTTCTGTCTGTTGTGGGAGCGTGCGGTCTCGAGTTCGCTCGGCCGTACGCTCTTCTGTCCATGTGTGTTGTGTATTGTGTAGCACGCGGTTCGTCTTCAGCCGCGTGCTTTTCTTGTTGTATTGTGTTGTTGTTGTTGCACGCAGCTCATGTTATCGGCTGCATGCTTTTCATGTCTTGTTTTGTCTTGTGCTGTGTAGCATGCAGCTTTGTTTTCGCTGGCTGCATGCTGTCTTGTCTTGTGTGAACACGCGGCTTATGAGTTTTCTCATTAGCCGCGTGTTCGTGTCTTGTTTTGTTCAAGCACATGGCTTGTGATTGTTTTGCTGGCCATGTGCTTGTTTTGTGTGAGCACTTGGCTTTTGTCTGTTTCCTGTGTGCCATTTGCTCTCATGTCAATTGTCTTGACCCCACCCATCTTGTTACCCGATTATTGGTTAATTTGCCCCACATTTGTTCCCTCGTTACCCTCCTTATTTGCTCTCTATTTATTCTCCTTGTGTTTGCAGTCCCGTACCAGTTCATCATCGTATCACCCTAGATGTGTCCTGATCCTGCCTTGCCTTAGCATGCCAGCCTGTTTTTCCCCCACGGGGTAGTTTTTGTTTTATTTTATTAATAAAAGTCCATTACTCTGCACTATTGAGTCCTCGCCTCATCCCTTCATCCCCGACCCTGACAAACAGACCTTTATGGAGGAAATCTGATTTAAGTAAGCACTCACAGAACACTGATGAGAATATTGCTTCAGAATAAATTATATTTACACAAATAAGTGAAAGACTGATGCACATGAAAAGTCTTAATGTCGAGCCCAGACTTATGTCTTTTTTTCTTTTTTAAAGTAAATTAAAATATTATCAGATGTAGAAAAGATGACAGGATGTCAGTTGTATACAATATGGTATATGCAATATATACAAGTATATGAAAAACACTCAAAGATGAATTCTAATTAACAAATATTTTTTTGACCTGAGACCCACCTTACATGGCGATGATGATGTTTGTGTTTTCTTTTTGGGCTGCTGAATCTCTTTGCTTCTCTCTCCTGTGACCAAAAACCGTTCACTCATTTACCAATTGCTTTTATCCTATGTGATTTAAACTTGTGATACAAACAATAATTAATGTTAATAATTTAATGCTAAAACGAATGAGAATGAACATGCCAAACTGACTGATAAATTATTTTTAAAATATTTTGCTGCAGATTCCTCACCTTCTTCTCATCCTCATGTGTAGAGTTTGATGAGATTCTTTCCTCCTTTTTGTGTTTCTTCTTCTTTGATTTCTTGCTTGACATCCTCAAAACCCTATGACAGAACATAATATTTGTCATATTGTTTAAACAATTTCTTTCAAAAATACTGTGTCTAATGTAAGATCTCCACAAGTTGGTTGTTCATTATACTTTTTAAGATGAGAGCAGTAAAACCATAGTGCTGAACAGTGTTTACATCATGTTACTTCAAATGTACCAGTGTTGTTAGCTAAACTAAAATGATTAAAAACTGTTTCATTAATTGAAATGAAGCTGAAATAAAAGATAAATATTAGAAAAATATTAGTTGTCGTGGCATCTAACTGAAATAAGTTGAAGATAAAGTACTAAAATTGGAGAGAAAAAAAACAAAATAGAAATAATTAAAAGCCCAAAACTAATAAAAGCCTATAACAGTAACTACATTAAAATGAAAACTGAATATAAAAAATTCTAATATATGAATAATATTAATGAATACTATAATAATATATAAAAATGCTAAAATAACATTAAAACGCAGAAATTTAAAGGTGGCGTTTGGGTACACTTTTCATTAACAAAACCAATTATATTATTAACATTTTTATAGGGAAAAATATGGGGAGGTAAGGACATCTAGCTTTGGATTTTAAAATTTACATACAGATTTTTGCTACAATGTTAACAGTAATCATTTAAATAGTACTTTTTGATGCACTGAGAGATCCAGGGAGACGAAGTCTTTCAGTAAAATTTTAATTTATTTGAAGACAAATTCATAAATGATAACAATTACAGATGATAATCATAATGAAAAATTAAAATGCAAGAAAAATCCAAACTGAGTATATTCTGCTCAAATTTCTAAGAGAATAATCTTATAATAAGTACAATAATTTTCAGAAGTGAAGAGACAAAGGTCTTTGAAGCATGTGATGCGAGCAGAAGAAAAGAAAAAGCTAAGATGAAAAGCCAATTGGGATATACGTATATATACTGGAAAACTAACTAATCTTCTTACAACATCAGCAGATGTTTTTGCCTGGATCATAAATGTCAAACGAATTTACCCATTATGTCATTATTTACCTGTTGTCAAATATTACTGCCTAAGTTGAATTAAGGTCAGGACTAGGTCACGTTGACATGACCTGTGAAATGCAGTAGGTAGAAGTCAGATAAAAATAGACGTGGGTTGTAGTTTTACATCCTTTTAGCAGAAACAACAGAGTTAAGCAATCTTCAAATATCATCTTGCAAATACCAGCTCTTGGAAAAGAGTATCACGTGAAGTGGAAAGACAAAAGACATCCTTTACATAGACAAAATATTTTTTAAGAACATAAAAGTTTCCATCATCCTACCCGAAAACACCTTCTAATCATAACAAGATGTACCTTTATATGTCAAATCGAGGAGAAAAATACTACGGCTGCGGAATATAATGAATGCAAATGATAATAAATAATAAAATAATAATATTGAGTATATGAGTAACATAAGACAGTAATATGATTCTGATGAAGAGTATCAATAAAGAAATCATAAAGGATAACACATAACTGAATATGAAAAACTTAACAACATTGGAAACTTTTAATACAAAAATGTTGTACCTAAGAGTGCCTTTCTAGTTAGAACTAAGTACAAGGAAAACAGGTTTTCTCCCAAGAGCTGCATATCAGCAAATCCCAGAAAGAAATCCAATTCATCCTTGAGGAACAGATAACGCCAATGTGAATCAACTGAACTGAAACACCCCAATTATATCTCTATACTGAATATGTAGGAACTTATGAATATGTGCCAACTTTAAGTCATACAGAAATACACTTGTGACAAAAATTACAACCGATTATTTACAACATATCACATTTGTCCCGACCTTCCTTAATGTTTAAAACTTAAAATCTTATCATACCGAGGAACTGGTGGAAATTAAGAGTCTACTACAAGTGAAAGAGCTTTACCTACCAAAAATGGGAGGAATGTTGTTAAATACGATGCTGAATGACAGAAAGAGAAGAAAATTCTGAAGCAATGACAGCAGTTCTTGCACTGTCTGCCAGTTGCCTCGCCTGGTTGAGTTCACTTCCGCTCTCTTTTTAGTTCGCGTAGTTTGAGAGAACACGATTGGTGCGCGCCCTCAACGCTCAATGCGTACGAATTCTACGTACGCTTGTTTGGGAAAATGGCGGAGCTCAAGGGAGAGGACGCTGAGCAACTTCACCAGGACGCCAATATAAAAGGCAAAATAATTTGAATTAATAATGATCAAATGATTTCGACGTGTTTTCAAGGTTCCTTAAATAACACTCAGAATTGAGGAATTTTGTATTTATATGCAATTTATTCTTAATACGACTTCAAAACTGCTGAAGTAAATATAGGCCTCCTCACGGAGCTCCACCACAGGACCTAGGTGTAAATATTGTCAATATTCAAAACGTCTCTGTATCTCAGCGCATATCGACAAACAACTGGCATGAAGAGAGATTACAAATACTAAATCAATCGATGCATTCTCTGAATTGAAAAACCGTAAATAACAGTATTATATATATGTAGAATTGGTCTTGTCGCGGAGCTCCGCACTAGGGCCGTTCTGCTTGGAAACACCAGCCTCAGAAAGCCCATGAGGTCAGAAAGCGGGATTGGTTACTCCAGGGAAATGTGCATTGGCTAACATACGAGGGCGCTCCTGTATAGTTGTTGAATTTTCATAGTCTTCTTCACTACAGTGTCTGCAAGGCGATCGGTGTGCTAAGATCCATCATTGATCACTTTTCTGTAATTTCTCCGACCACTAAAAGCCCAAACATAATCCATTCGAATAAAACGTCTTTTTTTTTTAAAGTTTAAAAGGAAATGTAAATCTCCCATTTCCTGTGGAGGTATTGGGAAATGATTTGGAAATTATGAGATTATATGTCATAAAATCTGAGATTATCGATTTTTTATATCATAGTTTTGACTTTTCTGTAATTTCTCCGACCACTAAAAGCCCAAACATAATCCATTCGAATAAAACGTCTTTTTTTTTAAAGTTTAAAAGGAAATGTAAATCTCCCATTTCCTGTGGAGGTATTGGGAAATGATTTGGAAATTATGAGATTATATGTCATAAAATCTGAGATTATCGATTTTTTATATCATAGTTTTGATTTTTTTTTAATGTAACAAATGGCTTAGTACCTCATGACATTTTATGTAATTATGATTTACTGTAATATATTTTTTATATGTGAGCAAATCTAATCAATCCACATTGTTCGCACATTAATACTAAAATTCTTATTTCACTCCTTGTTTAAAATAGAATAGATTTTCATATGTAATATTTTCAAAAAAAGTAAGATAAGATACCAAAGCAATTTTAATGTGACATTCATAAAACAAAAATAAATAACTTGGAATCTGTTTGGCCATTAAGATTTTTTTTTATTTATTTTTTTTAGCAAAAGTGAAAATAATATTTTTAATGGTTAAATCTTTATAATTGATTATTTCTTTTAATGCAAATGAAAAACTGGCTTGTCTTTAAGTTTGCTCCAATATACAGTATTTTGCTGAAGTGTGAATTTGCTTTGTCTCAACAGATTCTGAGAGTGATACTAATAAAATGCTTGCTGAATCTGAGGCATGTGAGCAAATGCCTATTCATGAAGCCTCAACAAATACAGTGAAAATACAGGACAAAAATGGACACGCATCCTCCACTGTTGTGTCTGGTAAATATTCAACAGTATTTTTGGCACCCTATGATAATTATTATACTCCCCAGGCATGATGTCCTTGAGTATTGTTAAATCGGTAACACTTTACAATAAGGTTCCATTAGTTAATGTTAGTTGATGTATTAAGTAACACGAACAAACAATGAACAGTAATTTTTTTTACTGTATTTATTAATCTTTGTTAATGAAAATACAATCGTTCATTGTTAGTTCATGTTAATTCACAGTGCATTAACTAATGTTAACAAGAACAACTTTTAATTTTAGTAATGCATTTGTAAATGTTGAAATTAACATTAACTAAGATTAATAAATACTGTAGAAGTATTGTTCATGCTTAGTTCATGTTAACTTTAGTAGTTAATTAATGTTAACTAATGAACCTTATTGTAAAGTGTTACCGTTAAATCTTTGAAATTGTCCGTCTCTGTTTCAGAGAGACATGTGTCTATCCAAACTACAATGGAAGGGCTCGAAGGGCTTGTGGATTTAAATGGAAGTACAGAAACCAGAGTATCTGTTTGTTCTGTCTGTTTATTAACACCAACAGCAGACCACTTGGATCGAAAGCTAACAAATATGTTCATTGATTTCGACAGCTGGGAGGAAGTCTTGTCCATTGTGTCCAGAAGAGAAATTCAAGGCCTGTTACAGTCACAAGCTTCAACGACATCTGCAGAACCTGCACTGGAAAGTTTATGTGGAATTTGAAGGTACATAGTCTTTAGGTTCACTTTGGCACCTCTGAAATTGTTTTTCCCAACAAGCATTTGAAAGCTGGCACCTCAGGTATCAGCTAATACATGTGTGAAAATTTTGCTTGGGGAAAATGAACTTTGACTCCCTTCCTACAGGCCAAAGGATGTGCATCTGTCATCTACCTTGCCGACAACTCAAGTCCAGTCTAGGCTCTGACCAGGTAAGATCAGGCTTATGATTTTTTTTCTTTGCGTTAACACCCCTGGGCTGCAAATATATTGACATGGCAGAAGAGACCAAATGTAAATGTTTAAAAGTGATTGTATAGATGCCTTATTTAGAATAGATCATTGTGATTCTTAAGGAGAGGAGATTTACCTGTTCATGCAATGATAGAACCTCACTACTATATACACACACACACACACACACACAGAAGTTTGGGGTCAGTAAGCTGACAACAAAGCTGGATTTTCAGCAGCTGGTTACACCTGTGTCTTCAGAGTCACATGATCCTTCAGAAATCATTCTAATATACTGATTTGGTGTTCAAGAAACAATTGTTATTATTATCAATATTGAAATGATCAATGTTGTGCTGCTTTAAAGGGGTCCTATTATGCTTTTTCACTTTTTCAACTTTAGTTAGTCTGTAATGTTGCTGTTTGATCATAAAAAAGATCTGCAAAGTTACAAAGCTCAAAGTCCAATTCAAAAGGAGATATTTTATTTAACAGAAATCACTTTTCAAACACTACAACGAATGACTCGTTTGGACTACAATGCATATTTTCTGGGATTTGTGATATCACAAATATCGACGAATGGGACGAGACCTGGTTGAGCTGCACTAGAGAAGGCAACGAGTGTTATCACTATGTTGGAGACACGCTAGCTTTCCCAAGGCAGACGAACTTAGAGTGGTTACAATCATCCGAGTTTAAATCGTGCTCAAATTGATTTGATATTGACGCAATATTTACACTGAAGCTCGCAGCAGGCAGCTATGGTAAGGGGCATGACATTTCCCGACCAGGCGCCGAGTGCTGCCAATCACAACACACACTGGCCCAGCTAACCAATCACAACACACTTCATATTTCAGAAGGCAGGCCTTCATTTGATTCAGTTACTATTCGAATTTCGAGCCGTTCATGCCAGACTGGGGAGAGAGGTGTTGTAATAATGTAAAATATGTGAAAAATAATGTGTTTTTCGAACAACCTAGTATGAGAGCCTGTTCTAGTACACCCCCAAAACCAAACCAAGACTTTGTAAAAGAGCATAATAGGACCCCTTTAATGTTTTTGTGGAAACTATGATTTGGTGAATAGAAAGTTCACATGAACAGCATTTATTTGAAATAGAAATCCTTTGTAACTTTATAAATACCTTTTATTGTCTCTTTTGATTAATTTAATGTGTCCATGCTGTTTTAGTTAACTTGGTTGCTTTAAAGATACTTGGAAGTATAGATGGATCGAAAAGCTTTTATCTGTGCCTATTAATCAGAAAAGAGATCCTCTGGAATGGATCTATTAATGTATGTTTTTATCTCATCTTCAGACTCAAGGCAGACTGGTGGCTCACTACCATTGTGTGGTTTGCTCTGTCACTATTGCTCGCAAGACAGACATGATCAGTCATCTCAAACGCCACATCAACAAGGGTGAGACGGAGGCCAGTTATTCAGGCAGCTCGGATGTCCCCTTTGAAGACCCTGGTGAGCCTTTACTCTGTTGATGTTGACAGAGTGCCAGACTTGCCATTCAAGGAGAACTGCCTGAACTAGATACCAGTTTGTTGATGTGGAATAATGTAGATGGTTTCATTCAAGTTTTTAATTTTTTTGCCTTTTATCTTGCATTTAAACCTTGTGTATTCAGGTAGGGTAAGAATAGTCAAATCTAACCTAAACCATAAAGCACTCACATGTTTTCAGGATCAATGTGTTCTGGAGTAACATTCTGTAGAAGATCTCCTTGTGGTTGTTCATGATTAGGCCTTTGGTTTGCAGTTTAAAGTAAAGTCTTACAGGAGGCATCTGTAACGATAAAACACTTCTATTCATTACAATATGTGCGTACGCATTTAGCTGAGTTAATTGGAAATAATTTGTCCATTTTGATTTTCTACATCTTTCTCAGTCCCGGGTGGACAGGCTTATGAGATTATGAAAGAGTTGGGCACAAATGTCCAGCTCCTGCCCAACCACACCACTCCCCAGAAGACAGACACCTACTTCAGCCGCAAGATGAAGACAAACAGGTTTTAGAATTGTACTTTTTTTCTGCAAAACGTATCGGATTGTATATTGTCCTGCCAACATTAAATATTTATTTGTTCTTTAGCATCTTAAATGTAACTTTGGTTGAAATTTGCTTAATATATATTTTAATGCTAAAAATAATTTAATACCTATTTTATAAATTAAATATTTAATATTGTATTTATTTTTTCATAAAAAATATATACAATTTAGAAAGAAAAATATTCGGGTCCTATGGGTCAAGGACATCCTGTTGGAAAATCCTATAATAGAGTCAAAAAAAATGCTAAATAAATAAACATTATCTGTATGTAATTGTTGTAGGCAGCTGGTGTTCTGCTCTCTCGCCATTCTTGCTGAGGAGAGGAATCCACTCGAATG